CTTGGTTTTCGGTTTTTTTTCCTCTGAAGCTTTTACGTTGTATGTCTATTACGTCAAATGAAAATATGGTTTGATGAATTCTTTTTTAATTTAAAGGAGAGTCGTTTTGGGAAGGTTGCGTAGAATTTAGAGATAAATGTGTAAATTCCAAGAATTTTTTTTCCCTTGTAATTTTGTTGTTCCTTTTCTAAATCATTCTCTGCCACTTTTAGTATCTCACTCCTTGTGTGAGTTTCTGGGACTCAGTGTGTTTAGGGGTGGGGAGATGGGGAATGGGAGAGGAGACAGACAGATTTATTGTCTCCTCGTAGACCTATCTTGAATGGCAATTAATTAAGGGTTTGTAAAATCGGTTACCTCAGATCGAAATGCAAAAGATTCGCAGTTTAGCTTTAAATCACAACACAAAAAGCCAAAACCTTTTCGAGTGTAATCACAGAATAAGAAGTACTTTATCTTTCATCTTCCACCTTTTTATCCTTTTTCAGTTTCTGTCTCCTTCTTCCACTTCTACGTCTTCTTCTATTTCCATTTACTCATCTACTGGATCTTTTTTAGCTCTGTTATTATGACATCAACACGTTCGTCTGCACTGTTATGTCACATTGTTAGCCCTCTTGACATTCTCAACAACAATATTGACATGCTACAAAACAGTGGCATGGTTATCCTAGTTTCTACACTTTTAATATTTTCATTTGAAGCCTCCTCGTTGTTTTGATAATTCTTTGACTTCATTTTCGCCCTAACTCTTTCTTCCACTTTACCATGCTTTTCTACTTCCACTTACTCCTCCACTGACTCTGCTACTTTAATTTTCCTTTCAGTTAATTTTTCTCCCACTTCATTTTCCTTCCACTTTATTTCCCTTCCACTTAATTTCTCTTGCACTTCATTGTCATATCACTTCCTTTTCCTTCCATTTTATTCCCATCACACTTTACCACCCACAACTTCATTTTTCCTTCCACTTCATTTTCCTTCACTTTTTTCCCTTCCACGTAATTTCCCTTGCACTCCATTGTCATATCACTTCCTTTTCATTCCATTTTTTTCCCATCACACTTCACCACCCACAACTTAATTTTCCTTCCACTTTATTTCTCTTCCACTTAATTTCTCTTGCACTACATTTTCATATCACTTCTTTTTCCTTCCATTTATTCCCATTCCACTTCACCACCAACAACTTCATTTTCAGTTCCACTTCATTTTCCTTCCACTTTTTTTCACTTCCACGCAATTTCCCCTGCACGTCATTGTCTTATCACTTCCTTTTCCTTTCATGTTGTTCCCATTCCACTTTACATCCCACAGATTCATTTTCCGTCCACTTCATTTTTAATCCACTTCATTTCTCTTCCTCCCCGTGTGAGTTCCGGGGCCCTACTATGGAAAAAAAAACAAGAATAGACCCACTGCCTACCCAAAAGCATGTCGTAAGAGTCGACTAATTGGAAGCTTCCTTCGAAGTCGGACTGCATCTGCCCGAGAGGCAAGGAGCCAACAGTCTGCACACAGATCTGTCAAACGGATGCACACCCAACACTCAGGTTCTGGAACAGGACTGCAGTCCAGAAGTGGTCGAACAACCAGAACTTTCCGCCGGAGTTTACAGCCGGTGAACAAGAAGAAGAAGAAAAAAAAGAAGATTTATCTTCCAGTTCATTTTTTCCCACTTCATTATCCTCCCACTTCATTTTCCTTCCACTTTATTTCTCCTTCCTCTACTTCAGGTACAGCTTCCATTTCTTCTATTTTGATTTCTTTTCCATTTCATCTCCAATCTTCTCTTTTCACAAACTTCCTCTTTTCTCAATTCTTCTACCTTGTCTTCTTTTGCCAGTTTCTTTTAGTCTCATCAGGTAACTTTCTCTTTTTTTTTTCCTTCATCTAGTTGTTTCTCTCTGGCTTCTACTTTCCCAAACGTGCTTACATTTCCACGAGAAGGACTGGCACTATAGTGGTCCCCTTGGCCACATTTGGGATGTTAAACCATCAAACGAAGATCCCAGATAATCTCATTCAAGTTTCCAAGGCTGGAATTAGGAAATTCAATTTCTACCCTCTTCCATTTATGCTTTTCTATCTATAGGGATATCCCCATTAGGTCACTGTAAGGACACTGGATGAGAAAACGGTAGAGAGTCAAGAGATGAAGAAAAAGAAGATGATGATGATGATAATGATGTTGATTTATTTGCTTATGATGATTATGATAGTTAAAACGATGGTGATGAAGATGATGATAAAGGTGGTGGTTATCGTGGTGTTGAGGGGTGGTGATGGTATAGATATTGATACGATAATAATGATGGTAATTATGACTTGTCAGAAAACTGAAAGATATCAGGAGTCAGAAAGATGTGAAGAGGCAGAAAAATATGAAAAGACAGAAAGGTGTGAGATGACAGAGAGATGGTAGATGACAGAAATATGATAAGAAGGCAGTAAGATGTGAGAATAAGAAAGATATGAGACGAAAGAAATATGTGAGAAGAAAGAAATATATAAGAAGACAAAAGGATATGAGAAGGCAGAAAAATATGAGAAGACATAAATTCATGAGAATCAGAAAGATGTGAGATGACTGAAAGATAGGAGAAGATAAATTTAAGTAAGAAGACAGAAGATGTGAGAAGACAGAATGGAGAGAAAAGATAGAAAGATGTGACAAGGCAGAAATATGTGAGAATATAGAATGAAGAGAAAATATAAAAAGAAGTGAGAAGGCAGACAGATGTGAGAATGCAGAAAGATGTGAGAAGACAGAAACATGTGAGAAGGCAGAAAGATATGAGAAGGCAGAAAGATGTGAGAAAACAGAAAGATGTGAGATGACTGAAAGATATGAGAAGATAAAATAAGTAAGAAGACAGAGAGATGTGAGAGGATAGAATGAAGAGAAAAGATAGAAAGATGTGAAAAGGCAGAAAGATGTGAGAATGCAGAAAGATGTGAGAAGAATGAATGAAGAGAAAAGATAGAATGAAGAGTAAAGCCAGAAAGATGTAAGAATGCAGAAAGATGTGAGAAGACACAGAAAGATGTGAGAAGGCAGAAAGATATGAGAATGCCGAAAGATGTGAGAAGACAGAAAGATGTGAGAAGGCAGAAAGATGTGAGAATGCAGAAAGATGTGAGAATGCAGAAAGATGTGAGAAGATAGAAAGATTTGAGAAGACAGAAAGATGTGAGAAGGCAGAAAGATGTGAGAAGGCAGAAAGATGTGAAAAGACAGAAAGATGTGAGTATGCAGAAAGATGTGAGAAGATAGAAAGATTTGAGAAGACAGAAAGATGTGAGAAGGCAGAAAGATGTGAGAAGAAAGAGACGTGTGAGAAAAGAGAGACATGTGAAAAGACAGAAGGATATAAGGAGGCATGAAAATGTTAGCGTACAGAAAGATGTGAGAAGACAGAAAGATTTGAGGAGGCAGAAAGATGTGGAAAGACAGAAAGATGTGAGAAGACAAAAAGATGTGAAAAGACAGAAAGATGTGAGAAGACAGAAAGATGTGAAAAGACAGAAAGATGTGAAAAGACAGAAAGATGTGAAAAGACAGAAAGATGTGAAAAAGCCAGAAAGATGTGAGAATGCAGAAAGATGCGAAAAGACAGAAAGATGTGAGAAGACAGAAAGATGTGAAAAGTCAGAAAGATGCGAAAAGACAGAAAGATGCGAAAAGACAGAAAGATGTGAAAAGACAGAAAGATGTGAAAAGACATAAAGATGTGAAAAGACAGAAATATGTTAGAAGACAGAAAAATGTGAAAAGACAGAAAGATGTGAAAAGACAGAAAGATGTGAAAAGACAGAAAGATGTGAGAAGACAGTAAGATGTGAAAAGACAGAAAGATGCGAAAAGACAGAAAGATGTGAGAAAACAGAAATATGTGAGAATGCAGAACGATGTGCAAAGACAGAAAGATGTGAGAAGACAGAAAGATGTGAGAAAACATAAAGATATGAGGAGGCAGAAGGATAACTGCGCAGTGTCTACCGGACTAGAGAGTCTACTTCTCTAATCAGGTTTTAACTAATATGGCTTAGACTCTCGTTGTACAGCAGTTGTCTACTCGTCGAAGCGTTGCATAAAGACACAACTCCGTGACTCCAACAACCGCACTTGAGATTTTTTAAACAGAAGTAAACGAACTGGCGGACGGAAACCCAAATCAAACTCATAACTTTAACATCTCTAGAATAATGGCTAACCCACTCCATGTTCAATAATTTAAGATTAAAAAACGTCTTTTAGTAAGAACCGTGATGGCCTGTGGCTTAGGGTTAGTGATGCACTCAACAATTGCACGATCCTCAAATACTTAGGTTAGATTTCCCAGATGGACAGTTCTACTGGTGGTTTTCGGACGGTTGTACAAAAGTCATAACGTCGAGTAGGGGAAGCTTCAACCCGAATTTTTCCTCAAGGCCTAAATTAGTGCATTGTAGCCAACCTTCATTGTGGAGACGGCACATACATTTATTTAGGAGAGGGCAAAATAATGATAATGATGATAATAATTATAATAATAATAAGAAGAAGAAGAAGAATAATAAGAAGAGGAGGAAGAAGTAGAAGAAGAAGGAGAAGAAGAAGAAGAAGAAGAAGAAGAAGAAGAAGAAGAAGAAGAAGAAGAAGAAGAAGAAGAAGAAGAAGAAGAAGAAGAAGAAGAAGAGAAGAAGAAGAAGAAGAAGAAGAAGAAGAAGAAGAAGAAGAAGAAGAAGAAGAAGAAGAAGAAGAAGAAGAAGAAGAAGAAGAAGAAGAAGAAGAAGAAGAAGAAGAAGAAGAAGAAGAAAAAGAAGAAGAAGAAGAAAAAGATGTTGATAATGATGCTAAAAATAGTGAAGTTGATGAAACTGGTGATGATACTGATTATAATGATCATGACAGTGTTGGTAATGCCAAAGATGATAATAATGATGAAAATGGTGATGACAATTATGAAAATGGTGATGGTTATGACAAAAATGGTGGACTGCTGGTTATGATGATG